AAGCATTTCTTTGTTGTTGTTATAGAGGAATTTTAGCTAATACTTCTGAGATAATAGATTATGGCATTAGAAAGGATCATAGAGTTAATAGACCAAACGTATTAACCAACATAAAGTGTCCGTGTAGGACATTGTGTGCTAGGTTATCTAGTACAGTCTTTTATTTATAGCTGAGAGGACTGAGGCTTGAGAGGTTAAATTATTTGCCCAAGGTCATAAGAGATGGTAAGTAGCAGAGCTATGATTCAAACCTCCTCTTTCCTTAATGTGACATCTCTAGAAATCAGTTTCCCACTTTATGAAAGAAAGTAACTGATATCCAGTTTGTCGGGAGATTAGCAAAGTGAAAATAAATATAGGCACTTAAAAATTATGAACAGTTTACTTGTGAATGTATTATTCCTACTTCTTGGCTGCTTTTCCCCCTTTCTCTTAAGAAAGGAAATTTGCACCCACATATTTCATTGTCCACATCTCAACCTCTTCTAAAAACTGTCGAAATAAACAGCCCAGTTGTTCTTGGGCACACAGACCCACCTTGTGGCCAGAGTGGTGAACTGTTTGACACTGTCTTCTGGCACCAGCCATATTGCTTAATTCTGTTTAAGTCAATCTCTTTTTTTTAGTTCTGTGTATGTATTCTTCCTTCCACTCTCAGCTCTTTCTTTCTTGGTTAATTCAGAAAAATTTATATCCCTATCACGAATTCCCCCTAGTATTTGTGAGCTAGTCATGGCTAATAAGAAGAATCATAGCCCATATTAATCTATCATCATGAGGTGCTTTCCATATTTTACTATCTCCTATCTCATTCAATCCTCACAATAAGTTGAGGAAATTTGTCCTCAAAGAAAGGTTAACAGATTTGCCTAAAGTCACAGTGGTATATGGTAGAGTCAGGATTTGAACCTCAGGCTTTTGACTCAAAATTTATGCCACGATACTTGTTCATCTGAATCAGGAGGAAAAGGAAAGCCATAAGTCTGAAACTAAAATTAGCCGATGTAGAAAAAAAAAAAATTAGCTGCAGAGTTTAGTTGAAAGCCCAGGAAAATTCACAGAAGCACCATTTCAAACCTCTATAAGTCTCCTAGCCTTCCTATTCTAGCTAGTTAAACCCGTTTTTCTTCTGGCATACAAGTGATTATTAAAGTCATCCATTCATTTTTTATATATTTTTCTAGTTTTATATGTTATAAATATATTATGTATTCATAAATTATAATTTTTATATTTTATTTTATCTTGTTATTTTTAATTACTATTATAACTTGTATTAATTTTCATTGTAATTGTGCAAAATATTTCAAGTATTAAAGATTTTTTGGACTGGCCTGGACAGTTTACCATTTAAACAATCATTTTCTTGGGAAAAATTGCTCAGATAATCTTTAAGGGCCTTTTCAATTCTAACTCTTGTCCTCCTATGGACTGATTTGCTAATAGTTAATAACCCCCGTCTACTTGATCTTCAGCACCCTCCTCCCCCCTTCTGTTGTGTATTGAGTTGGACTCCTTTATCCTCCCTTCCTCCCCTTTGGGATGGACATGAATACACATGTTACTTGAATGGGCAGAGGGTTATCATCTTTTTCTGGTAAGATGGAGGATCACTAGGCCTTCTCATCTGTCTAGCTGTATTTGCTATACCCTCAGACAGTTCATTGTCATGTGAGCTGACAGTAAACCATAAGTTTTCCTAGGTCTTTCTCTTTCCCCTTTCATGGCACTCCAAAGACCATCTGTTCTTTTTTTTTCCTGCCCTGAAGCTGAAGCCTGCTTTTTATGTCCTTTCCCCAATTAAAATGGATCTCCTTGAGAAAAAGGATTGTTTTAGTTTTCTGTTTGTATTCTTATCTCTTAACACAATGCTTGGCACAAAGTAAGGGCTTAATAAATGCTTTTCTGGTTGTTCATTTCATTTCTTCACCCATTTATTTTGGAAATGCAGGTTAGTAACTGCTGGGTCTGAATTCAGTGCTTGGAAGTGAGAAGCGTTGTATACAAACCACCTTTTAAAAATTTCCTGATTCTCTTTTTTGTCTTTTGTCTGTATAGGTGAGTTTGTTTTTTCTTTATTCTTATTAGAGAGTAACTGTGAAGTAGAGTTAGGAAAATTGCCTCTTGGTGGCAGAATCACTGGATATTATTACATCAACAAAAACCTAGGTTTCTTCCCTATTTCTAACCTGTAATAAAAATAACCTATATTATTTATGTTTGTTAGAGAGCATGACTGTTAAAGAGTTAAGACCAAAAGAAATTATTTGCTATGTGAGATTATTCATTGTGCAGAACTATTTTTGTAATTGGATCAAGAGAACCTTGAAACTTTTAGTGAAATCTGGAAATGTACTGAGTGGGTAGGGGTAATGATATTCATTGCAATGGAATTTTACCTGTATTAGATAGACAATCTTGGACTTGTGAAGGTGGAATTTAGAATTTATGGCGTAAGAGGGCAATATACCATTTAAGGTACCTAAAGATTAAAATCTATTCACCTGTTTGATAATCATTGAGTATTCTGATGACTTTATTATGATGCTGTGGATGCCTCTTAATCAACAAGCAGTTCTTAAGTGTTTACCTTTCGCCAAGTACTATACTGCCTTCTAGAAATATAAAGACAAAATATAAAACAATCAGTGTTCTCATGGAGCTTAGATTCTATCAAGGGAGAAATGTACATATTTAACTGCTGAGTGTGTGTGTTTATATATATAAATGGAATAAATTCAAAATAAAAACAAGAAGGTGAGAAAGAGCACTAGTAGTTTGGGGGTTATCGGGAAAGACATCAAGTAGGACATCATGTTTTAGTGAGATTTTGAAGGACGTTATGGATTCTATGAGAAGTCATAGTGCAAAGACATAAAGATGAAATCCTTTGGTGGGCTGCATGTTGTGCAGGCAGACCTGGTTTAGAGACTTTCTGGGCCTAGTTCTAAATTGCTTTTCAGAATGACACCGCCATTTTCACAACTTAACCAGTAGTGAATCATTGTATCTGTTTTCCCATAGCCCTTCCTGAATTTTTCATTTTTTTTTCCATCTTTGCCAATTTAATGGTTCAAGTTAACGAGTATTTATTAAGTACTTACTATATGCCAGGCGCTGTGCTAAGTGCTGGGGATACAAAGAAAGGAAAAACAAGACAAAAAAATCTCCTGCATTCAAGGAGCTCACAGTCTAATGGGGGCAGACAACATGTAAACAACTATTCATAAACAATATATGTGAAGAATAAATTGGAAAAGATCTTAGAGGGAAGGAACTAAAATTAGGTGGGACTAAGAAAACCTTTTTGCAGGAGGTTGGATTTTATATAGGACTTGGAGGAAGGAAGGGAAGCCAGGAGTTAGAGATGAGGGAGGGAGAGCATTCCAGGTATGGAGGACAGCCAGTGAAAAAATTTGGAGTTTGGAAATGGAATGTCTTGTGTGAACAGCAAAGAAGCCAACATCATTGGCTTTCAAAGGACATAGGGTAGTAAGGTATAGGAAAAATAGGAAGGATTCAGGTTATAAGGGACTTTAAAAGGCAAATGAAGATTTCATATTTGATTCTGTGTGTAATAGCGATCCACCAGAGTTTATTGAAGAGGGAGTGGAGTGTGACATAAATAGACTTGCATTTTAGAAGATCACTTTCTTAGCTTAGAAGAAGATAGACTGGAGTAGGGAAAGACTTGGGATAGGTAGACTAGTACAGTAGCCCAGGTGTAACATGTTGGCCTACACCAGAGTGGTGGCAGTGTTAGAGTAGATGAGACAGCATGATGAGAGATGTTTCGAAGGTAAAATCAAAGGACTTGACAATCAGTTGGTTATAGGGAATGAAAAAAAGTGAGGAGTCAAGGATGATCCTAGGTTGTGAACCTTGGTGAGGATGATGGGATATCATCAGCATAATAGGGAAGGTAGGAAGATGGTTTGGGAGAAAAGATAATGAGTTCAGTTTTGGATGTGCTGAATTTAAGATGTCTGTGGAGGACATCTAGTTTGAGATACTCATTTTGTAGTTGGATATATGATAGTGAAGGTCAGGAGCTGTTTAAATAGATCTGAGAATCATCTACATAGAGATGATAATTGAATCTATGGGAGCTGATAAGATCACCAAATGAAATAGTATAAATAGAGGGAGAAGAGCTCAGGACAGAACCTTTGTATGACCAGCAAAAGAGACTGAGATGAAACAAAGAGACAGGTAGAAGGTAACAGAGAACCAGTGTTCATCTGAAATTATTGTCACAAAAACCTAGAAGAGAATATGAAGGAGAAGAGGGTGAGGGTGATTGGTAGTATCAATGGCTGAAGAGAAGTCCAGAAGGAAGAAGGCAAAGATTTTTGATTTGTATTTCTCTTGTGATTTTCATAAGATTGTTGATTGCTTGATTTCTTCCTTTAACAACTGCCTATTCATAACCTTTGACCATTTATCTATTGGGGAATGGCTGTCATTCTTTTTTGTGAGGCCTTTACCAGAGAAACTTCCTGCAGAGATTTTTTTCCAAGTTATATTTTTCTCTTCTAATTTTAACTACATCAATTGTTTTCAAAAAATATTTTTAAAATTTTATATAATAATAAATTTTTACTTTTTCAATTTATCCCCTCTATTTTTTTGTTGGATCATAATTCCTCATTTATCCATATTTGTAAAAGGTGTATCTTTCCTTCCCCCTAATATCTTTATGATGTCCAAGTTATATAACCATTTGAAGCCTATATGTCATGTGAATGGTATACCTAATTCCTGCTTTCTGGTTTTCCTAGTAATTTTTGTAGAATAGTGAGTTCTTGTCCTAGTAGCTGGGAGGTCTTTGAGTATATTGAACAAAATGCTACTTTGTTTGCTTTTGTTTGTTGTGTACCTAATATGCGCTCCACTGATAATTTCTCTAGTTTTTAACCAGTATCAAATAGTTTTGATGATTATTGCTTAGTTTTAATTTGGGACTGCCAAGATAACTTATCTTTCTTTGCTCTTTATAGAATGTTGGCTTTTAGAGCTCAGGGAAGTAACATCAGGGAGATAACCGCAATCCAGTGGTGAGTAACTTGAATTTAATTTGATTGAAATATCATAACTAATTATAATGAATATATAAATTTAAAAGAACATTTTATATTTCATAAACATATGGACTCCTAACAACTAGTACAGAAAATAATCTTCTTGCGCCTGTTGCTACTCAAACTTCAGTAACTTAGCTATTTCAATTCGTCTGATGAAGTCCAATGCCTTAAGAATTTTTATGACTTCTCTCCCAATGCTGTTTCTATATATAAAGATTCTAAAGTTAAAAAATACTGAATGTTCAAGTAGTAGATGAATGTTTACAAGTTGGATTATGCTTTTTTTTTTGGAGAAAATATGCAGTAGAAAAAAGCCTTTATTGTAGAAGTTAACTTTAGAAAATGTCATTTAAAGTATAGCATATTAACTATTTCAAAAATATTTCCTGAAGGAAAATTAAAATTCCAGAATGTTCAGCTTTAGGAGTAAGCAAATTAAACCCCTTTAAGCACAATTAATGGAAACCTTTGAAAATCCAAAAATCTAGTGCATTTCTTTCTTTGCCTCTCCTCCCCTCAGAATTTCTGAACTGTCAGTATTTTAGCATCCTTATTCATAGAGTTGGCATAGGATATAAAAGAAGTCTGATTGGTTCAATGCTAAGGTGGAGCTATAGCTTTAAGACTCTGAAGTGCCCTCTACCAGTCATGTAATTTTAATAGTGGAAATGAACTGAGAGATTATAGAATGTTAGATAATTTCCAATCTATTCTAGTTTTAATTCAACCTCTTAATTTTACAGATGGTCTTAAATAATTTACCTAGGTTCAAAAAACTCTTTAATGACAGCTGGCTGTAGTACCCACCCTAATCATGTGATTTTTCATGACCCCATACTTCAGTTTATAGATTGCTAGGTAGTTTTCAGGTGTTTATATATTTCTTTATGATATATTATTCTGCTCTTCCATTTGCTAGCTGTATGTGATTTTTATAAAGTCATCCTATTTGATCCTTTTTTTGTATCATCTGTAAAATGAGGGTAATAATAATGACTTTACTACTTTCCTTACAGAATTGTTATTAGGAAAGGGTTTTGTGCACCTGTATTCTTGCAGGAATGTAAGTTATTTTAAAAATGGTAGACAGTCTGCTATGATTTAAGTGAACATTAAGGGGAAGCATAGCATCACTAATGAGGTGGTTCTCCATGGTAGCTAATCTGCCAACTGAGAACCAGTGTTCATCTGACAATGTTTTCCCTGGGCTAGACCTGCATATGAAATGAGTTTGCAAGCTGGCTCAGAACTTTTGTTTGCTGAACAGAAGTGAAACAAACACAGTTAGGATTAAGACAATGAAATTCTTAGAAGTAAAACTTCAAGTAAAATTGTGTAACTAAATATATTGCTGTTAAGATATCTGTCTGGTAGACAAGAATGAGGAATGAGGCGCTTCTCTGTAATGAGAAAAGGTTATTTCACCACATCTCATTTTCTTCAGCCATACACACACAGACAAATATTCCAATGCTAAAGAAAACATATGACATTCTCTTTAACTTGAGCAACTGATAAACTGCTGCTGTTGGAGCAAGGTGTTTTTTTGTTGTTGTTGTTTTTTTTTTAAAGGAAATATAATTTGCGATCCCACAGCCCTTAAGCTTGGCTCCCACTTAATGTTGCTCTGTCTAGCTCTCTCTTGCCACTGGGGGGAAGTAAAAACCAGATTTTCCTTTAAAGAAATATGTTTGGGTATACAGCCTTTTCTTTTTTTTTTTTATGGTGGTATCACACCTCTCCTATGTTTAGGTATATAATCTTTCCTAAATTATGAAAGTATCTCTGTAGAGTACAAACTATACACTGTAAATACACTAGTTCTACAAATACAAATACAAATGAGGCTCTTGTGGGGACCAAATTGAATGGGATAAGGCATATGAAGGTGTCTAGTGCTGGATTATAACAACAGCTGATTTTATATAAGATTTAAAATTTTTCTCGTGTGTGTGTGTGTTTAGACACATAACTATTACAGGTATTATTTTACAGCTTGGTTGCATAGTGGATAGAGTGCCAGGCCTGGAGTCAGGACGACCTGAGTTGGAATCTGGTCTCAGACACTTACTAGCTATGTGATCCTGGTGAAGTCACTTAACCTTGTTTGCCTCAGTTTGCTGATCTGTAAAATGAGCTGGAGAAGGAAATGGCAAACCACTCCAATATCTTTGCCAAGAAAGCCCAAATGGAGTTACAAGGAGTCTAATATTACAGAAACAACTGAACAAATTTTCTTTTCTTTTCTTTTTTCTTTCTTTCTTTTTTTTTTTTTTAACAGATGAGAGACCTGAGGCCCACAGAGGTTAAGTAACTTGCCCACAATCTGACAGCTAGTGTCAAAGTTAGGATTTGAATCCAGTCCTTACTGACCTCAAAGCTTATACTTTAGTTACAATGTGCTTGTAAAAGTAAGGTATATTAGTTCTTGGATATGGAAAATGGCTTATTTTTCCTTGCCTTTATAATATCCATTCATGCAAATTTTTTAAAATGAGAAAATGTCATTTTTAATAAAAATAGTTTTAACCTGACCTATTTAAGCATGCTGTTGGTACCAAAAATGGAATCTGAATTAAAAAAACAGATCAATAACCATTATTGCCATTTTCTAAGAAAATTGATTTAATATAAATCCATCTGTGTAATGAGGAAACCAAAAACCAGACACTTAAGAGATCAGATGAGAAAGAATTGGACTTGTCTGCATGTGGATGGAGGGATGTGTACTGAAGTTGACATAGTTTGGGGCACATAGAAAATCAATTTTTAGGATATGTAAGGGAGAGGATAATACTAGGAATCAGTGGGAAATCACTCATTTTACTGTATTGCCAGAAGGTGATCAAAAAAAGCAATTAGTATGAACTTATATTCCTTCTTTCCTATCTCTCCAAAATCTTTAAGATAATAATCTACATACATCTTGAGGGCATTTTTGGTGAAGGTGTAAGAGGGTGTCAGCCTTTCACTGATGATATTCCACAGGAAACCACATTTTTTTTTTAGTCAGATGGATGACTTAAAGGAATAATTGTACTTTTTGATTATTGATTGTAAGGAAGAATTTTATTTAGTGGAGGGGAGAAGGGGTACCATCTTGGATGTTATTGTAATCTTCAACTCCAGTCCTGTAGTACTGGCTGCTCACAGGACATGTCCATCTGGATGTTATGTAGGAATCTCAAACTTAACCTGTTTAAAACAGAACTCACATTAACCCTCAAACCTTATTTTTCTTCCAGACTTTGCTATTTCTGTTGAAGTTTGCAGCCTTCGAATCAACTTGGCATCTTCTGTTTCCCATCTCCTCACTATTTAATCGGTTGCATATAGTTGATTCCATTTCCATATTTCTTGTATCCATCCTTTCTGTCCATTCATACAGTCACTAAGACTTCATAATCTCTTTTCTGAATTGTTGTAATAACTTCCTAATAGTCTCCCTGCATTCAGTTATTACCTCTTTTTTTTTTTTAGAAAAGTAACTTTTATTTTACTTTTTGTTAGTTAATGAGCATTAATTTTCTCTTCCACTTCCTTCATTAAAAGCAACAAAACATCTATGACACATATACATAATCTAACCAAATAAACTCTCATATTGGTTGTATTTTTTTTTAAAGTATGTCATTTTGCCACAAATCTATCTATTTATATAAATTTGTAAAGTTTTTTATTATATCTCCCCACCTGTGATTTTTTTTTTTCAGTATCCTAGTATAGAAACTTTTCACACACTGGTGCAAATTGGCAAGTCATGTATAAACTTGTAAGCTTAGAGAGTTACCCGAAGGGGCAGCTAGGTGGCACAGTGGATAGAGCACTGGCCCTGGAGTCAGGAGGACCTGAGTTCAAATGCGGCTTCAGACACTTGACACTTATTAGCTGTGTGACCCTGGGCAAGACACTTAACCCCATTGCTCACCCCCGCCCTGGCCCCCCCCCCCCAAAAAAAAAGAAGAGAGAGAGAGAGAAAGAGAGTTACCTGAGGCACTGAGAGGTTGTGACTAGTTAGGCCTGTGATCATATAGCTAGCATGGATCAGAGGCAGGATTTTGAACCCATGTCTTCCAAATTTGAAGACTAGTTTCTCTCTCCACAATGCCTCTCCTTCACGTAAAATACAATTTTATAGCAAATCTTAATTATACCGTGGATTCTTAACTTGGAGTCTACAGATTTCCAAGGTATCCACAAATTAATTTCAAGAGGTCTCTCTACATATACATTTTTAATTCGAAAAAAATTTAATTTTAAAAAACTTTATTGATATAACTAGTTCCTTGGTAATCCTGTTTATTCTATTTTTATTTGAAAACATTCTTGAAAGGGATTCATAGATTTCACCAGACTGATAAAGGGATTCATGATACACAAAAAAGTTAAGACACTTGCCGGGAAATAATGCTTCTTGACTTCACTTGATTTGATGAACCCCTTTGGTAGATTAAAAAAAAAAGCCTCATTTGAGACTCAGCCTTCTGGTGATTATCTTTTTTGAATTTAGTAATGCTTGTTCTCAGACGAGGGATACATAGTATGTGGTTGGACCTATGCTTTGCAATTACTTTCGGTTTGTAATGGGATCTGCCACATTGCCACCCATTGTGTGGCCTTTGAAAACTGATTAACAGTTCACCCTAATGAGGCACTGGTTTAAGGTTTTGGTAGAAGATATTTTCAGTCTTATTTTAAAATTTATTTTTGTTTTCGATTTTGCAGTGCCTGAAAATGACTACAAAGCGAAATTTGTTTGTGCGGTTGGTGCCATGTCGTTGTCTTCGAGGAGAAGAAGAACCAGTCACCACCCTCGATTACTCTCATTGCAGTTTGGAACAGGTGCCCAAGGAAATTTTCACTTTTGAAAAAACCTTGGAAGAACTTTATTTAGATGCTAATCAGATTGAAGAGCTTCCTAAGGTATGTTTGTATTTTGTTTCCTGATTTTACTCAGGTTACTTTATGCCTTTTTGAGAATAGCAATACAATAACACTCATATGCTATAATCAATTACCATTTGAGTCTAGAGTTTACTTTCTTTCATTCTTTTTTTTTTTAACGTCTTATAGTACACCAAAAGATTTCAGAAATACCTTTTTTTGTTGTTTTGGAGACATTTAGCTTACCTTACAAACGACCTAGAAATCTACAGTTTGTAATCATTCTTTTTGTGGTCATTATGGGAACGTATTATTTCTGGGTGAAGTTGAATAGTCATCATGATGGATATTTAATTTTAACATTGATAGAATGCTGCTGTTACACATTTTTCACTGCAAAATTTTCTCATATTTGTTTTCTTATAATTTGATTCCTTTCTTCCACATTTCCACTCATTATTTCATTGCTGAAATCTGACCTTTTCTTATTCAACCCTTTCAACCTCTAAGTAGCTTTTGACACTGTTGAGTGACCAGTGCTCCTCTCCCTGCTCCCACCCCAAGTTCTGTGACACCACTCTCTCTTGATTTTCGTCCTGCCTGTCTGATCCCTCTCAGCCTCTTGAGCTGCTGTCATCATAATCCATTTCTTGCCCCACCTGGGTGGGTTGACACGATACTGTCCTGGACCCTCTATTCTTTTTACTCTGCATCCTCTCTTTTGATGATCTCATCAGCTCCCGTGTGTTTAATTATTCCTCTGCTCATGACTTAAAAATTCAGTTCTCATCCATCTCTTTAAATCCAGGTGTAGCATTGCCAAGTGCCTGCTACACCAGGCACTGGTTCATCTGGATGTCCAGTAGGCACCCCAGACAGTCCAAGATTGTTTCTAAAATAATACTCCCCAAAAGCTCTCCCCCAAACCTGTTCGTCCTTCATACTTATTTCTGTTACAGGCACCCCCTTCCATCTAGTCACCTTTGTTCATGACCTCATCATATTCTTTGACTCTTGTCAATTTTATAGCCACACCTTTTCTCTCTTAACAAGTCCATCTCTCTTGTTTAGACTCCCATCACCTCTGGCCTTTACAATTACCATAACCTCCTTGTCCTCTCTGTCTCCAATCTCTCTTCTTTCCAATTCACCTTCCACACAATTGCCAAAATGATCTTTCAGGGCTGAACTCTTACTATCATATTCTCTTGCTGCCTCTAGGATAAAGTACAAAATTCTCATTTTAGCTTTTAGAGCCCTTTATATTGTGGCTCCAGCCTATATTTGCATACATCTTTCATATTGTTCTTCTTGACAGTGTCTATATTCTACCCACATTGAAACTTGCTGTTCCCAAACTTAGCATTCCATTTTTGTAGTGCAGGTGAGTTCAAATGAAAAGCATCATCCCTCACAGAGATGGCTTTAACAAACTTTATTGCTACTAACAAAGGAAAGAGGGAAAAAGCTGCTATCATGGATTGTCTCTATGTGGCATTCCGTGTGTATAGTTGGCAGCACATTGCAGGACAGAGGCAGGTTATCTATGTTCCAGTTGAAGGCACAGAGACCCTGAGGACTTGATCTTATATATCATTTTATACGAAGTGCCAATAGGATACCATTGGGAGAGTGCCCTGTTATCTCTAGGATAGTAAAATGAAGATACTTTCTAATTACCCCTAATAAGGAGGTTGGAATGTGGAGCAAGACAATAAGGAATAAGAAAGAAGGAAAGTTAACCCTAATGGTACTGAAATGGGGTTAGGGCTGTGGCAGTCAGCTAGTTTTCACCAGATGATAATCTTCCACCTCCTTGTCTTTGCATATGTTGTCTTTTCTGCATCTCCTTCTCAATTTTGCCTATTAGAATCCTTTGTTTCCTTCCAGATTTATGTCTCTTCTTTCACTGCTAACCCTACCTTTACCCTCCTATCCTTAGAGCTCTCTCTCTAATTTTCCTTGGATTTATTTATCTGTTCATCTAGTTTGCTCCCCAACAGAATGTAAATGTTAAAGCTACATAGGATATTCAGGGGGGAGTGTACAGTGGAGAATAGAAGAAGACGAAATAACTTCAGAAATATAGTTCCTTTATCTCATGTCTCCTTTCTAATTTTTGTGATACACAGACATACCTCAGAGATAGTATGGGTTCAGTTTCAGACTACTGCAATAAAACAAATATCACACCATACAAGTTACATGAATTTTTTGGTTTCCAAGTACATATGAAGGTTATATTTATACTATATTGCAGTCTATTAAGTGTGCAATATGTGTAAAAAAGTATACATACTTTAATTAAAAATATTTTACTGCTAAAAAATGCTTGCCATCATCTGAGCCTTCAATGAGTCTTAATCTTTTCGCTGGTGGAGGATTTTATTTCGATGTTGATGGCTTCTGACGGATCAGCGTGGTGGTTGCTGCAGCTTCAAGTGGTTTTGATAATTTCTTAAAATAAGACAACAATGAAGTTTGTCCCATTGATTGAGTCTTCCTTTCACTTGAACACTTAGGGGCATTGTAGGGGTTATAAATTGGCCTAATTTCAATTAGTTATTGAATATCAGGGTATAGGGAGGCTATAGGAGAGGGAGAGAGACAGAACAGGTGGTCAGTGGAGCAGTCAAAACACATAAAGTATTTATTGATTGATTTTGCTGCTTTATATGGGTGGGGTTTGTGGTACCCCAAAACAATACAGTAGTAACATCAAAGATCACTGATCACAGATATAACCAAAATGTGACAGAGACGTCATGTGAACATGTGCTGTTGAAAAAATGGCACCAACAGATTTGCTTGATACAGGATTGCCTTCAATTTGTAAAAAAAACCACAATTATCTGTGAAGTGCAGCATAGCAAAGCACAATAAAATGAAGTGTGCCTCTACTCCTAAATGACTTCCATGTGTAATGTTATGCAGATGCCGAAATAGATAATAGGTTATTCAGCTGCAGTAATAGAAATATAAGCCAAATTGAGGGAATTGATAGTCTTGCTTTCCTCTGTCTTTCTTGGATCACATTTGCAAAACTGTCTCTAATTCTATAACATCTTTCATTCATTACTTTCTCTCTACGCACACTACCACGTCATTTCTGGCTCTCATTGTTTCTTATGTAAGCTGTAATAAACTCTTAGCTGTCTCCATCTTTCCAGGATTTTTCCTCTCCATCCTTCACAAAGCTGCCAAGATAATCTCTTCAACAGCAACAACAATAATAATGGAAGCAGCTAACATTTACATAGTGCCTACTATGTGACAGGCACAATTGAAAAAAAAAGTCACATTTTATAAATATCTCAACCTCACAAAAATCCTGGGATTTAGGTACTATTATCTCTATTTTACAGATGAAGAAACTGTGGCTAACAGAATTTGAGTGATTTGTCCAGGGTCACACAGCTAGAAAGTGTCTGAGGCCATATTTAAACTCTGGTCTAACTGATTCCAGGCCTGGCACTCTGCCGACAGAGGTACTAGTTGTAGTTCTGATCGTTACTCTACTTCTCTAAAACCTTATATGGCTTTCTGCTACCAGTAAAATGCTATCATAAACCTAAAGCAGGATGGGACATAATAGCCATCTACCCATAGAATCATAAGTTTAAAGCTGCAAGGGACTTAGAAACAATTGGGTTTGACATTCTTGGGTAGATTTAAGAAAATGAGGCCCAGGAGATTAAGTGACTTGTCCCAGAACCTAGATCATACAGGCTGTAAGAAACAGGATTTGAATTCAGATGTTCTGACTCTTTCCAGTGTACAGTACTGTAGCTACTCTTTTTCCTAACATTTAATGCAAAACTTAATCTGCTTCCTTTCCTTTTTTTAAAATTAGCCTACCTACCCTTATTTCATATTACTCCTCCTACTCACTCATCATATAAGACTACTAGCTGTTCCCCAAATTTGACATGGATTATAGGAGGGACCTACAAATTAATTTGTTTCACAAACTATTCATTTGGAAAGGAAAGACTTGATGTTTAATGTGTAGAGCCCCTTACCACCCTTACTATAATTGCCTGCATTATTTTACTCCTATATATGCTCATTTATCTTATGGAAAGGATAATTATTCCTGATTCTCCACCTTAGAATAGTGAAAGGAAGTTAGAAAGCCTGTAACTAATGGGAACAGAGTATTGAGTAAGAATCAGCAAAATAATTCAGAAGCTTGACCCAATACCTGCTTTTCTTTGGCCTGCAAGCTAAATAATTTTTGTACATTTTCAAATGTTTTACTGCATTTATAAATGTAAAAACCACTCTTGGCTTTTAAGTCATACATAAAAAAGACAGGTTGGTGCTGGCCTTGCTAATCCTCAATAGAGAATTAGAATGAAGTTAATAAAAAAGCCTTTATTCAGCACCTACTCTGAGCCAAGCATTAGTCTAAGTGTTGAAGATACAAATATAAAATTGAGGCAGTCATCGCTGTCAGGAAGCTCACATTCTAATTGGGGGAGACAGCATATAAAAGAAAGTTAACATTTATATTCAGTTCGTGATAGATGGAAAACCCACGTATGTAGAGAAAGTATCAGGGCAGATGGCAGGACCTTGAGGATCTTGGGACATAATGTGCTCCTATCCAGAACATAATGGGTTCAAATGTTAGACGGGCTCCAGTTTCTCTCTAGTAGGGATCATGGGATCAAAGTCCACCTGGAAGTCGACTCCTGCACCTGGTGGGAACTTGGCCTTTGGGAAGTGAAAAAGTTATGGTTCTCTTTTGTGGCAGTAAGGGTTGCTGGTCTCTCTTTCTGCCACCCACTGAGTTGGCAAGGGAAAGTCCTAGGTCTCCTTCTATTGCAGATGACTGGTCCCAAATCAGCATAGAAATAAGCTGTATGATGAGGTTTCCTTAAGATTTTTGGTAAGATGACTAAAAAAGTGGCATTCCATGCACTCAGGTTTTAGAGAGAGTTAAAGGAATTTAGAGGTTCCAGCCCCATGACTAGGGGTTTGCCAACTCAAGAAATGGCAGGCAATAAAAAAACCCAGGTCATAAAGTTTGTTTGATCCATGGTGCTCTTTCTGTCTATCTGTCTGTCTCTTTCTCTCTCTTTCTCTTTCTCAATGAGACAATTCACTGTGTGGGAGGGTAAAAGAGAATTTTTTTTTTGAAAAAAAGATTGTGTATGTGTATTTCAAAAATTCTGGAAGAAAGTATAATAATTGTCTTTCTTTTTTTTTTCATCAGCAACTTTTTAACTGTCAGTCTCTACACAAACTGAGTTTGCCAGACAATGATTTAACAACATTGCCAGCATCCATTGCAAATCTCATAAATCTCAGGGAACTAGATGTCAGCAAAAATGGTAAGTTACTTAATTTTTTGTACCTGAATACATTAAAAAATGAAAAGCTCCTGAAGGACTATAAACCAGAGTATATGAACTTTTTAAATTTTTGCTTTTTTACATAAAATTATTGGCTAAAATACTGTGTAAACAAAACAGAAAGTTTAAAATAGCTTTGATGTTTAACATATCACCATATTGGCATTCTGTTTGCTAAGTCATATTTAAAACTATATTTCTGTAACCTTTTAAGAAAATATTTTAAAAGCGTATCATTGACTTGCTTTAATGTGCATTTCATCCTCCAAAATTGAAAGACCCAACAAGGAAAATTTCTATTTTTCATCTAATCCTCAGGAAGTTTTGAAGAGCTGGGTTCAAATCCTTCCTCAGACTCTTCCTAGCTATGTGACTGGGCAAATCCCTTAATATCTAGCCTTCAGTTTCTTCTTATGTAAAGAATATTGGACTTGAGGATTGTTAATGGTTTTTTTTTCCTATCTCTAAACCTATGGTACTTTATCCAAAAATTTTTTAAAAAATGCAGAAATTATGTTTTCTCCAAAACTCAACCTTCCTCCAAACTTACTGAAAGTGATCACTGTCTTTCAGGTCAACCTCATTCATACCTTGGAGTCAATTTTGACTCTCTTTCCTTTTACTCACCCCCTTATCTAATTTGCTAGCAAGTATTTCTGATAATTGCTGTGTTTAAACTCCTTCCCTTCTTCTCGTCACTAACCCAGCCTTTTTCTCAGGTCAGTTCTTTATTCACCTTTTGACCAGACTGTTGTAGGAACCCTATAGTCAGTCTTTTAGCTTTCTGTTTGTCCTCTCTCCAGTCACTCTTCCACACAACTCCAACTGACTTCTCCCCTCTCCCAAATGAAAAATCTGTAATGCCTTCCTACTGCCACTCAAATACAAAATGATCAGTCTGTTAACTAAAATTCTCCATAATTCTCTCACCCACTAATTTTTTCTCCATTATAGTTTCTCCTCTAGACAGACTGGGATACTGAATGTTGACCATGAATCCCATACATACTGTTCCATCTGCTGCCTCCTTGCTTTTGTCCATTTTCATGTTTATTGCACAGAAGCCCTTTCTTCTATAGAAGGCGGCTCTGGTGCACCTTTACATGACACTTTTCTAGCTCTCTCCCTCCTCCCACCTTTTTTTTTTTTTTTGCCCTCTTGAAATTACTTTGTATTAATTTTTATTTACTTCTCCATTTACATACCCCCCCTCCCCCAAGAATGTAAGTTCCTTGAGGGCAGGGACTATCTTTGTGGGGTTTTTAAAAAAACTTATTCATTTATATCTATTTTAACATTTATTTTAAAACCTTTTTTAGTTCCAGATTATCTCCTTCACTCCAGCCCATCCCTCACCCATTGAGAAGGCAAACAATTTGATACCCATTTTACATGTGAAGTCATGCAAACTATTTCTATATTTATATGTTGCCACTGGTACCTCCCCCCCAAGGCAAGAAAAATAAAGAAAGTAAAAAATGCGTGCTTTAGTCTCTGCTCAGAGTTCATCAGTTCTCTCTCTGGAAATTGATAGCATTTTTCATCGTGGTTCCTTTGGAATTGTCTTGGATCTTTGTATTTATTGACCAGAGTAGCTAAGTCTTTCACAGTTGGTCATCATTATAGTATTGCTGTTACCACGTACAGTGTTTTCCTGGTTGTGGTCACTTTGTTTTGGATCAGTTCATATAGGTCTTGCACTGGAAAAATGTTTCACCCTTTTGCTGATTATACCACTCCAGAATTCAATTTGAGGCATTATTTTAAAGTTGTTTGGAGGGAAATGTTGAGAGAGCCTGGGTATAAAGGGCTTCCCCTACTCCTTCATCTTAGTTCCATCCTCTATCATGTATTTTTTCTATTAGGGCATAATTTTTGTATACAAAGGATAAATAGATAGATATGACCCTGACCTTGCCCTCAAGTGCTTGACAGTCTTGTATATTAAGGTTAAAAGAGCAACACGTAGTTCCTAGCTGTTTCTATCTACTTGGAGTAGTTTGAGAGCTTCTTTTTTCACTTCTTTTTTACTTCTACCTGGCTTCTTCTTTAACTTTATTCTTTCTCTTATCTGAGTTGTATGATAGTTGAAGAAAACCAAAATCATCATAGCAGTATCTTCAGCTGAAGATGCAATGCTTGGCCAAATTTTGAGTAAGCTGTTCTTATGTACCTCCAACTGTGTGGAAGGATGTTGGATCTGCAGTACCTGCCTAGTTTTTCTTTACTGGCAGAAACGGGACATATAGTTGAAATTTATCTAAGTTAATTTATATCTCTATGAAGAAAGCTTTAAAGGAAAGAATGTCTTATGTCAAAATTTGTAGGTCATTTTACATTTCCTTTCTCATGTTTCTCTCAAATATACCAATATACATATACTGATAGATCAACAGTGGACTATATATCGTATTTCCTTCCTTCTTTAATGTATTCCAGTTATGTTACTGATTATCACTGTGAGCTGGGACGACTTACTTAACCTCTCTGGACCATGGTTTTCTCATGTGTAAAATGCTAAGTTAGACAAGATAGTCCCTAAGGTCCTTTTCTGATTTTTAATTCTGTCATCCTATTATGTTTTCCTTCGAAATCACACTTTACAGAAATATAGTTCCTGTATTATGTACCTTGCATGGTTCCTTGTATGTGGTAGATGTTAAATGTTAGTTGAGCCACCACACTTCACAGTTTGTACTTATGATTCATTTTTACATAGCATAAATTTATGACCATTATCTATTAAGTGGAGAATATAACTACTGATTTTACAAGTAATTAGGTGACCTTCATAAAACACTGGTATGCCAAGAAAGAAAAGGACTTTATAAATAGACTGTTTGTTACAAGGTTCGAGAAAAGCCCTTCACTACAATCTTTCAAATTATTATATGATAAACTTATAAGAATTTATTCCCTAAATAAAATTTTTTTCTACATGCTTTATTTTAAAAATAATATTTTATTTTTCCCCAATTATATGTTAAAACAATTTTTAGCATCTGGGTTTTTTTTTAAAGTTTTGAGTTCCAAGTTCTTTTCTTCCCTTTCTTCCCTCTCCCTGAGATGGTAAGGAATCTGATATAGGCTATACATGTTCAACATGTAAAACATTTCCATGTTAGTAATTTTGTACAAGACTCAAAGCCAAAAAAAAAAAAAAAGAGAGAATAAGAAAAATAGTATGCTTCAGTCTTTATTCAGATAATATCAGTTCTTTATCTGGAGGCAGAATAGCATATTTCATCATCAATTCTTTGGGATTGTCTTGAATCATTGTATTGCTGCGAATAGCTGAGTCATTCACAGTTCCTCATCATACAATATTGATGTTACTGTGTATAACATTCTCAGGTTCACACAGTGAATATGTGTCAGAGGTCAGACTTAATCTCAGAACTTCCTCACTATGAGGCTAGGTGTTCGCCATACTATGTTGCTTCTTGCCTCTTTGGGTTATACAATAAATTAACTGGTTAACCCATGGCATTTGTAAAGCTCAATAGAGATATGAGTAGATTATACTTTACAGCTATGTATAAATAAAAAAAGAACTACTTGGAAATCAAATTACATTTGAAAAGGTATGGGCAAAAATGAATTAATCAAAACCTCAACAAATTGTGCAATATTTTTTTCTAGGCTATAATCTTTCCCTCAAATGGATAAAATATTATTGAATGACATAGTAAAATAATACATTTTAAATGGCTGCTTTAAATTGATACATGAAAATGTTTTAATGATAAATATCATCTAATTCTTATCAGTTATAATAGGTAGGTGCTGGTGAAATGTAATAGTGTTGGTTTTTTTAATAGAGATTGAATTGAAAAGCAAATAGAGTAATATGTAGCTTCCAAGAAACTTTGCTTCAAAATTACATAAATCTTAGTAGTTGAGATTTTTTCAGGTTAAGTGAAAAAGATGTGTAAGAGAATTGACTTTTTATTTTATAAAAAGGTTTTTATAAAGACTTTTTTAACACTGATGATTAAAGTCTATAGCATTATTCACCTATCTCTCTCTGTGTAACAAAATTTCTATTTTCCCTGTGTCCGTACTCCTATTTCCTATTGATGTGAGCACTCTGTTAATTTACTAAGAGGTAATAGGTTCTGTGTCCATAGGTTTTCTTGCTCCGACTTCTCTCTTTGGCTCTAGCTTGAATAAGAAAACACAGAATAGGAAGCAGAAGTCATTGACAAGAAGAAGTCCTCTCATATCTTCTCTTGAAATTTAGAGTGCGTAAAGGTAGATCATGTAATTCTTGATTCCCAGTAGCTAAGTTTTCGTATTTGTGACTATAATTACAAGTAAAATCACTAAATGGGAGTTCTTTTAATTTAGTGTGAAACTTGTGGTTTGAGGCTTTGCTCTTTGAATGTATTGTTTTTCCTTACTTATTTGAGAACCTTTTTTTTTTCCTTTCCATTTCCTCTGATGCAGCCTGTAACACTTTCATTGGTCCCAGATAACCACATTGCTGCTCTGACTTCACACCTCTAATGAATTCCTGTCCACATCAGGCTAACCCTTAACATAAGGCATGGTCCTGCCATTCTTGGTCATCAATGTGACCATGTGTCTCATATCTCTTTCATATCTAAAAGAGAAGTAAATATAGTCTAACATATTTTTAAATAGCCTAATATTTGTCTAGATATAATTATTTTTCAATATTATGACAACTAAAGTTGGGTTTTTGTTGTTGTTATTGTTGTCGTTTGTTTGTTTTGGCCTCTTCAGAGAAAGATTGCATATATCTGGGATTTTAAGCTCATTACATTTTTTAAAAAATTTACTATTTGGTTTCAGGTAAATTTGTTTAAAAATTTAATGGGTCATATTCCCTTAGGAAGACAAAGATAGAAATAAAGTCCTATATATATATACATATATATACACACACACAAAAATATTCATAGCAATACTCTCTGTAGTAGCAAAAAAAACTAGAAACAAAGTTTTGCCTATTG